CAAGCACAGACTAGGAGAGAGCACAGAGAAAGTCTTTAGTGAGTCCTGGATTAACCTTAAAAAAGTAAGTTAAATTTCTCTGTCCATGAGCCCTTATATATGTAAACATTCAAGAAAACAAGATTTTATTGGTGAGTGTAAAAGTAAGAAATTTGAGGTTCTGAAGCAATTGCAGAACTAAGGTCAAGAACTTCTGATTTAACCTGTTTCCTTTTTGTGTTCGCCACTTGCCCATTCCTTCTTCGTTCTCTAACTTTGAGACCATACTATCAAATCCTCCATCTAACCTTCTAACAACGCTACAGGAGCCACAAACAGTTGGTGAAATGAAGTGTCTTCCCCAAGACACCATGGCCCTTCAGTGGGAAGAGGGTACTGAGATAGCTGCCACCCTCTGGTGAGTCAGGTGTTAAGCACTCCTCCCCTGCTGGGGAGAGCTAGCCCAGGCCAGGCAGATGCCTGCACAACCCCAGGTCTCCATGCTTCCTCTGAACCACTGTGGATGCCTCTTTTAACTAGAAGTTCTCCAGGATTAGAGATCACCAGCTGTGACCAGACAGACAGGATAGGCTAAAGCAGATATGACCTGTTCAGCTAAGAGGCCAGCATCAGGCACCTGGACCAACAGCTAACAAAGAACGCCATAAGTAAGGATATGTCCTGGAGTCTCTGGAATCTCTGCCATCCTGGACAGACATCACCTTATGTGGCAGCAATGTACTAATTTCTCATCCCTTTACTTTCTTTCTTTCTTTTTTTTTTGGTGTTTTTGAGACAGGGTCTCCCTGTAGTCCCAGCTGTCTTGGAACTCACTATGTAGACCAGGCTGGCCTTGAACTCACAGAGATCTGCATGCCTCTGCCTCCCAAGTGCTGGGATTAAAGGTGTGTGCTACCACACCCGGCATCCCTTTACTTTCTAAGATTGAGGGTTAGTAGACACACACACACACACACACACACACACACACACACACACACCAGCAGATCAAACAAAAGGAACAAGCAGGCAAAATTTTTGAATATTTTTTCACTTGTCAGTAACAAAGCAGGAATACACCATATGTGTATCTCAGTTCTATTTGATAACACCCTGGTTTATTTTACAACCATTCCTGACCTATCCACATGAATTTGAGGTCAGCTATCCAAAAATACAGTAAAATTACTTGTTTGCCTGCAACTTTTTAAAATGCAGATGAAAGAACACTTATGAACATACCTCTAAGTATATCAACATAATATGACTTTTCTCAACTTCTTTAGAAGCAGAATGGCTCAAATAGGAACAAAAACTCAGAAAACTAGACAAAACCAAGTAAGGGTGGAAAATATTAACCCTACCAATCTGCTGCTCCTCTTTTATTATTTTTGTTTGTTTGGGGACCTACATAGCTGAGGAACTCATGACCCATGTCCCCCACCCAAGTTGGGATTACACACGTGTACTATCATATCCAGCTTCTCCTCTTTCGATGGAAGTGTGCACCCTGAGTGTGTCTGAGTTAAAACTCTCCCAGTGCTAAGTGGAGGGGTGCTATGGGTGGGGCTATTGTCACTACAGAAGCCTAGGACAGGGGCTAGAGAGACGGCTCAGTGGTTAAAAGCACCGACTGCTCTTGCAGAGGACCCAGGTTTGATTCCTAGCACCCACATGGTGGCTACAAACCATCCTTAACTCCAGTTCCAGGGGAATCTGAAGCCCTCTTCTGACCTCCTTGGCATTGCACGACATGGGTGCACTCACATACATGCAGGCAATACACTCATATACATATAATAAAAATAATAGGGGCTAGAGAGATGGCTCAGCAGTTAAGAGCACTGACTGCTCTTGCTGAGGACCCAGGTTCAATTCCCAGCACCCATGACAGCTACAAACCACCCTTAACTCCAGTTCCAGGGGAATCCAAAACCGTCTTCTGACCTCCGCAGCATTGCATGACACTGGTGCACTTACTTACATGCAGGCAATATACTCATACACATAAAATAAAAACAATAAATAAGATATTAAAAAATAAAAATAATAAATAATTTTTTTAAAAAGCCTAGGACAGAGAAGTATAAGGCAAGCAGAGGGCACCACTGTTTGCTGCCCATGCACCCGCTCCAGTTAGACCAGAGTATCCAGGTCTTGCTGGACTCAGAGGCTGACATGAATCTTCAGGTCACTCTTTATTACTATGTTTTGTTTTGCTCCCTATCATCTTGTTCTACTATTTTGTAATTAGGGTTTAACTGCACCTCAAACTGTCTTACCCACACATTTTCATTCTTTTGAAAATATAACTAATTTCTACCTATACTTATTTTTAAGATAAACATTAAGTCAGCTAAAAAATAGGTGGGGCATAGGGCTAAAGATCATCATCATCCTTGGGCACAGCACTGTGGTTGAGTTGCTGGATGGTGGTGGGAAGGACCAGCTAGTTAGTCTTCTTCAGGAAGGCCTTGCAGCCCCTGAGGCATTGCTGATTCACCAGCCTAAAGTCGAAGTCATTGCCATAATAGGGTTCTTCAATAATGAGTTGTTTCTGTGGCTCATAGCTTCCCCAGTAGCTCAATTTTAGCTCTGCAGCTTTTAACTTGATTACTTTTTCTATTCAAATCTCCCAGATTGCTTTCATCCATACACAGTATATAATCAAATGTCGCAAAGTCTTCTTTGGTAATCTGTCTTGCCTTATGGGCTGTGCTAATGCTGTGATTTCTTAGGCAGCTGACAGCTCTTGGGTCTGGGCCCGGCTCACGTTCCAGTCGGAAACATCGCTGTTGTCAATGGCCAAATTATCTGAAATGTTTCCATCAGTTATCAATTTTCTGAAAACTGCTTCTGCAATGGGTGACTGGCAAATGTCACCCAGACACACGAACAGCACAGAGTTGGACCCATGCTCAGCCATCTCCTAGTGAGGACAGTGGCACTCAGTCACAGCCAGTGCTCTTAACCGCTGGGCTATCTCTCCAGCCCCTGGCATTATTTCTTAAAGATTTACTTTTTATTTGATGTGTATGAGTGTTTGTTTGCATGTATGTCTGTGCACTGCAAGTTCACCTTCGTTGTCCTGGACACCAAATATCTGAAGAAGACAGCCATGCTAGTTTGGTTTCTGCTGCTGTGATGAAGCACTGACCAAAAGCCACTTGGAGAGGAAAGGGTTTATTTCATCTTACAGCTTGCAGTTCCATCATCGAGGAACTCAGAGCAGGAGCTTGAAGCCAAAACCACAGAGAAAGCTGCTTACCACTTTGCTCTGAGGCTCATGTTCAGTTAACGTTCTTACATATCCCAGGCTCACCTCCCTAGAGATGGTATGCTCACAGTGGTCTGAACTTTGCCACATCAATCAGCAATCAAGAAAACGCCCTACAGACATGCCCAGTGGCCAATCTGATGGAGGCTATTCCTCAATTGATGCTCCCTCCTCCCAGGAGTATGAAGTTCACAACAGAAGCTAACTTCCATTATGACAATAGATGTAGGAAGACTGTCAGGTGTCTGGGAAACAAAAAGATGGTACACCTATGGGTGGGGTGGGGTGGAGGGTTCTGTCTAAGGTTTTCATACCTCCTGGGCCCAGAGGGTCTCCTCACACAGCCTTGGGAGGATAAAGATTAATTTGGACACCCAGAAGGGAAATCTGAGGGGTGGATAGGGTAACTCCTTGGAGGTCGAAAGGACGGTTCTCTTTCCTTCCCTGCGGTCTGATCCCACTGAGCTGGGAAGTGGGGGTGTGTGCTATAAGACTCCTTCTTCTCCCCAGATTTGAGACCATCCCATGAAGTTGCCCAGTCTCACCTTGAACTCTGTAGCCCAGGCAGTCATTAAGCTTATCATCCTCTTGCCTTAGTCCTGGTTACAGGCCTGGTGCAGCTAGATTTCCATACCAGTTTTGCATCCCTCCTTCTCCCCCTTTCTCCATTCTCCTCTCTCCCTCCCTCCCCTCCCTCTCTCCCTCCTTCCCTCCCTCCCTTTCTTCCTTCCTTCCATCATCCATCCATTTCATAGGTTTGTACAAGTGCTTGCTGTGCAAGCATGGGTACCCACGATTAAATCCTCAGCACCCACACGAAAACCAGGCATGATCAAGATTGCCTGGAACGTAGTGTTGGGGAGCCAGAGACACAAATATCCCTGAAAGCTCACTGGCCAACCAGCCTGGCAAAACTAGTGAGCTTCAGGTTCAGTAAGAGACCCTATCTCAAGGAAATAAGGCAGAGAGGAATAGAGAAAGACACTGACATCCTCCTCTGGCCTCTGAATGTGTGCTAATGGAATATGTGTGCACACACATACACTATACATACATACATACATACATACATACATACATACAATAAGGAACAAAGTACTAATGTAGGCTTCAGCATACCATAAATTGTGTTATAATTCACATCATAATATACAATCTATATATTACATTTATATTGAGACAGGGTATCATGTAGCCCAGGCCTGGCGTCAAACTCATAGCCAAGATGACCTTGAACTTCTGATGCTCCTGCCTCCACCTCCCGAGTACTTGGATTACAGTCATGTGTCACCACGCCGGTTTATGCAGTGCTGGGGATCGAATCTAGGGCCTTGTGCACGCGTGCTAGGCAAGCACTCTACCAGCTGAGCTACATAGCCAACCCTTCTAGAAGGGTCCTGTTTCCCATTTGGTAAGGTATGTTTTCAGACAGCCCCGAGATTTGAGAGGAAGAGGAAAACATGAGGTCGGCAGTCCCAAGTCTGGGCCCCCTCACTTTAATCTGGATTCTTAAGAGTTTCCTTTAGAAATTTGTACCAACCCAGAACCCGCCCCTTCGCCGGCAACGCTGTTGTCATGACAACCGCGTCTTCCTCTGGGCCTCTCGGAAGTCGTCCCTCGGAGATTCCATTGGTCAAAAGTTTGTAATGAGCGGTACCTCTTCACGTTCATTGGTTAGTTGGGGCAGCGAGGCAAGGCCGCCTGCTCCCATTGGCTGACGGCTCAGAAAGGGCGGGGCCTCTGGGAAACAGTTTTTGAGGGTCGTTGGAGCTCAGTACCGCACCCAGCAGCCAGCAGGGTCACTCCGGATATTTGGAAGGATAGAGGTGAGGGAGATCTTGTGGAGGCGAAGGGACCTGAAGTGAGGGGCGGAGAGAGGAGGGTGGGGTGGACAAATGTGGGGTTCCCAGGATGTCTGTCTCACAGGGCGATGACCACACCTGCGGGCTCCGGTGCGGGCTTCGGCTCGGTGTCCTGGTGGGGCCTGTCCCCAGCGCTGGACCTACAAGCTGAAAGTGAGTCCCCACCCCAGGACCGCAGGGGCCTCACCAACCTCCATTGTGCGCATGCGCCATAGACATACTCCAGTTGACAGGGGATGGGGATGGAGGGGGGGTTACCAACGTTCCCCAAGTTCAACGGTGCCCAGAGTCTTCTCTGGGGACTTGGAATCCCATGATGCATAGGGGTACAGCTGTCTTTGCAACCCAGGCTCCAGGCCTTCTAGATTCTTAATCCCTAGCTGGGAGTTCTAGAGGAAAGGGAGACTAGTTCACTAGTCCCTGCCCTCTGTTGTCCTGTCAGGTCCTCCTATGGACCCAGGGTCACAGGCACACGCACAGCACAAGACCCCTGACCTGGATGTCCTGCTGTTAGGCTCTGTGGATGGGCGGCACCTGTTGCAGACACTGGCCAAGGCGACTCTCTGGCCTCTCAAGAGGTTCAATGTGAGCAGGAATTCTGGGAACTTGGGGGGGGTTGGTTATGAACTGAGAGCCCAGATTCCTAATCATTGACAGAAGTGGGATTGGAATTCAAACATTCCAGGTCCAAGATGAAAAGGGCTGGCCTGTAGTCTTCAGGGTTTGAGGAGGTGGAAGATGGGAGTCTTGAGCCCATGTCCTGGGGAAGCAGGGGACTGAGATTTGGGGGCTCCTGGGTTTCAGAAAGAGTTGGTGGGGTCTCCAGTAGTGCTAAAGGCTGAACATTCTGGGGCCTAGACTCTTGTGACTGAAGAAAAGGGCTGGTAAACTGGATCTGGTGTCCCAAGCCTGAGATCCCAGCGACTCAGGAGACTGAGGCAGTAGGATCTGAAATTCAAGACCTGCCTGGGATAGAATGAGTTCAAGGGCAGTCTGGGTGACTTAGTGAAGCCCTGTCTCAAAATAGAAAGGAAAAAGAAAAAGAGGGCCAGGGATATAGCTCAGTGCTGCAGAGCTTGTGTAGTTTGTGCAAGGCCCTGGGTTTCATCCCAAGTTCTAGAAAAAAATGGGGAGAGGCTGGTGTTCAGGACTGTCTGCAGAACTGTCCTGCCTGTCACCCTTCCAGTTCTATGTGCTGGAGAATAATCTGGAAGCAGTGGCCCGACACATGCTGATCTTCAGCCTAGCCCTGGAGGATCCTGAGAAGATGGGGCTCCAAGGTCAGTTGCTTGAACTCCAGCATTCAGACTCATGTCTCTCCCCCCACTACAGAGGTTCTGGCCTTCCAATGTGATTAAAGTCTTTGGTCTTGGGGCTAGGGGATGCAGCTTAGTTGGTAAAGTGCTTGCCTAACATGCACAAAGCATGGGGTGACCCAGGCTGGTAATCCCAGCACTGGGGAGGTAGATGGATCAGAAGTGAAGTTCAAGGTCATCCTTAGCTACACAGGGAGTTCAGAATCAACTTGGGATACATAAGGCTCCATCTCAAAACAGGGACTACCAAGTTGACTCATTGATAAAGAGGCTTGCTGCCAAGCCTGGCGACCTGAGTTCCATCTCTGGGACTCATAGGGTGAAGGGAGTGAACTGATGCCTGTAAATGTTCCCCTCACCTCCAGGCATGAGCCCTGGCACCCCTGCCCCCAGTAAATAATATAAACAATATCTTTAGTCCTTATTCTCTACTTTATCCTTTGCAATCTTACATTACAAAATTCAGGTCCTAAAAGTTCCCTCACCAATAGGATACTTTCTTTAAAGATTTTATATTCTCTCTCTCTCTCTCTCTCTCTCCCTCTCCCTCTACCTCTACCTCTCCCCCCTCTCTCTCCCTCCCTCTCTCTGGCATGTGTAAGTGTGTGTGTGTGTGTGTGTGTGTGTGTGTGTGTCTACCTCTCCCCCCTCTCTCTCCCTCCCTCTCTCTGGTATGTGTAAGTGTGTGTGTGTGTGTGTGTGTGTGTGTCCGTGTGTGTGCACATAAAGGTCAGAGGACAACTTTCAGGAATTGATTTTCTTTCTACTATATGGGTCTCAGGGATTGAACTCAGATCCTCAGGTTTGGCAGCAAGCACCCTTACCTGCTGAGCCATCTCACCAGCCCCCTCCAGTAGTGGAATACTTGTGAGGACTCTGTAAAAAGCACCCAGTGCTTGTTTTATGACATCATCTCAGTCCTCTCCTTCCACCATATCTGCCTGGGGATTGAACTCTGGTCATCAGGCTTGTCTGCAGGCACCTTTTCCACTGAGCACCTTCACATCAGCCCAGTACATCTGAGTGATTTGTTGTGGGGGAGGAGGGAGAGGCTGACACAGGGCTTCACTATGTTTACCAGGCTGGCCTTGGACTTTTGGGGGTCCTCCTGCCTCAGCCTCTAGAGTGCTAAGATGACAGGCATGGGCCACCACAACTAGTGCCATTATATTTTAAATTTTTATTATTCTTATTTTATGTGTATGAGTGTATTTCCTGCATGTGTGTAAATGCACCCATGTCCTGCAGTGCCTATGGAGGTCAGAAGTGAGCTTTGGATTCCCCTGGAACTGGAGTTATGGACAGTTAGCTGTCATGTGGGTGCTGAGAATTGAACCTGGGTCCTTTGCAAGAGCAGCCAGTGCTCTTAACCTCTGACCCATCTCTTCAGTCCTTTGACTGAGGCAGGTGGATCTCTGTGCAGTCCAGGCCAGTCTGGGATGCAGCTCATCTGCAGAGTGCTTGCCTAGCCCTTATGAAGTCTTAGCTTCAATCCACAGTGGTGGGGGCTGGATTCGGGTTACTGCAGCGGTTGGGGAGGAATGGCTTCCATTAGGAGTGGTTGTCCTTCACGTTACTGGATTGGTGGGCTTGACACGATTCCTTAAGCCCACGGTGTGACTGAGAAGAATGACTAGGTACTCAGGGTGCGCTCTCTGGGCTCCCCTCTTCCCTTTTGCATCCTTTCCCCCTCCCTCCAGAGCGGAGCGAGACCTTCCTGGAGCTGTGGGGGAACGCACTGCTGCGCCCAGCGGTGGCCACCTTCGTGCGTGCCCAGGCCAGCCGCTTGGCGCACCTGGTACCTGAGCCTGACCGCCTGGTGGAGCAGCTGCCCTGGCTCAGCCTTGGCCAGCTCAAGGTGCAGGCACAGCCCCGCCTCTGGTCCTGCCAAGGTCTGGGTTCCGGTGGCGGCGGGAAGATTGGAAAGAGGCAGTTCGGCAGCAATTGGGTGGCTGGAGCAGGCTGGGGCGCGGGAGTTCCCATTTTAGCTCTGTGAAGCCCTAGTGTCAGGGTCTAGGATTAGGGGCGACTTGATTTTGCTCTCCAAGTCTGTTTCTTCATCCTTACATTGGTTCCCACCCGGAGGGATAGAAGGGAGGGTCAAGTAGGAGAAGCAGCTCCTCCCTGAATCCCTGACTCTCTTCCTGCATTGCTGGCTCTCTCCCTGCATCCCTGACTCGCCCCACGCACCCCTGGCTTGCAGTTCCGGGAACGGGATGCCCTGGAGGCTGTGTTCCGCTTCTGGTCAGGCGGAGAGAAGGGACCTGAGACCTTCCCCATGAGCCGACTTTGGGACTCACGGGTGCGCCACTACCTGGGCTCCCGCTACGACGCCCGGCGCGGTGTCAGCGACTGGGACCTGAGCATGAAGCTACACGACCGAGGGGTGAGGGGTGTGGAGGAATGAGGTGGAGGAATCCTGGACGTGAAGGAGGAGGGCTGGGCCTGAGGGAGAAGGACTGGGTCTGGACCCCTGGGTCTCAGGAAGGAGGGTTGGGATCTGAGCCCTGGGTCTGAGGGAGGAGGGCTGGGGTCTGGACCCCCTAGATCTGAGGGAAGAGATCTGGGGTATGGAGCCCCGGGTCTGCAGGAGGAAGTCTGGGGTCTGGTGCCCTGGGTCTGAGGGAGGAGGGTTGGGTCTGGCACCCTTGGGCCCGAGGAATGGGGGGCTAGAGACTGAAGCCCTGGGTGTGAGGGAGGAGGGTTGGATCTGACACCCTTGAGCCTGAGGGAGGAGATCTGGTGTCTGAAGCCCTGGGTCTGAGGGATAAGTGACTCTTCTACCAGGTTACCGGGGCCTTCCTCCTTCCCACCTTCAAATCCAGGCCAAAGTCATCCACATCCAGGAATTCCGACGCTGGCGGGACACAGGTGTCGCCTTTGAACTCAGGGACTCCAGTGCTTACTACGTGCCCAACAGAACCCTGGCGTCGGGTCGCCTCCTGAGCCACGTGCGTGTCCACTATCTGTCCTGGTCTGCGTCTTTTCAGGGAGTCACGAATCATGGTTCCTAAGTTGGAGCTCACCTGCCACCTCTCCCTGCTTTTCCAGCGCGGGGAGCGAGTGGCAGCGCGCGGGTACTGGGGCGACATCGCCACGGGGCCCTTTGTGGCCTTCGGCCTCGAGGCTGACGACCAGAGCCTCCTGCGGACCCGCAATGGACAGCCGGTCAAGGTGTGGAGAGAGTGGGGCTATTGCTAAAACCAGTTTGCAAAGCCCTGCCCAGGCCCTGACTCTCCTACCCCTCATTTTGGTCTGGTGCGTCCATCTAAGCAACAGGTTCCACCCCAACGTCTTGGGCTCTGGTCTTCTCACTCTGTCCTAAACCCAGCCCTGGAAATGCAAGAGTGCAAGGAATTCTAGTTCCAGGCTATGTCACCCCTCACTGTAAGCCCCCTCCTTCCCATCTTGGCCCCTCCCCCACGATCCTAGCCCCATGGTCTGGGCCCGCCCATTCTCTTCTGCGCAGACTGCAGGAGAGATCACGCAGCATAATGTTATTGAATTGTTGCAAGGAGTGGCCGCCTGGAGGCGCCAGAGAGCCACCCAGGGGAACCCGGAGGAGGCCCATCCTCTGGAGCCAGGATGCCTAGAGCAGCTAACTTCAAGTAAGCGCCTGACTTCACTTCCAGGAGTTCAAATCCAAGTGTGGACTGAAATGGTTTGGGACACCTGGGCAATTCACGCCTGGATTCTGAATTCTGGCTGCCCTTCCTTCTTCTATTCCATTCCTTAGCCTACCCCTAGGTCTCTCTCTCTCTCTCTCTCTCTCTCTCTCTCCCCCTCCCTCCCTCCCTCCCTCCCTCAACTATGTTCTGTAAAATGCTTCTCCACCAGCCTGGGTGGTAGCACAAGCCTTTTATCTCAGCACTTGGGAGGCAGAGGCAGGTGGATCTCTGTGAGTTGGAGGCTAGCCTGGTCTACATAGAGTTCCAGTCCAGCTGGGGCTACAGGGAGATCCTATCTCAAAAACAAAAACCCTCCCCCCCCAAAATGGGTTTCATCTCATGGGCTGACCTCCCCCAAGACTTGCAGGAATCCACTTTGGAGAAATGATGGGGGTGGGGTTCAAGAAGGACAGGAGGGCCGGCGAGATGGAGTCAACAGGGAAAGGTGCTTGCAGCAAAGGCCTGAAGGCCTGGCTGCCTGAGTTCAGTCCCTGGAACCCGTGTAAAGGTGGAAAGAGAGAGCCAACTCCACAGAGTTGTCCTCCGATCGTCACACACATTGTGTGGTACACATTAACCCTCAATAATAAGGAAAAAAATGTTTTTGAGACAGAGTCTCCCTGTAGCCCCAGCTGGCCTGGAATTCACTATGTAGACCAGGTTGTCCTCAATCTCACAGAGATCTGCCTGCCCCTACCTCCTGAGTGCTGGGATTAAAGATGTGTACCATGATGTCCACCCCCTTTTAAAAATTTGCTTTTAAAGATTTAAATTTTTAAATTTTATGTGAATGACTGTTTTGCCTGCACGTGTGTTTGTGCACCACATGTGTTCAGTGCCCCACAGAAGCCAGAAGAGGATGTCCAATTGCCTGGGATGGTTTTGAGCCGCCATGTGGGTGCTGGGAATTGAACACCAGTACTCTGCAAGAGTAGTAAGTCTTCATAACCACTGAGTCAGTCTTCCAGTCAAGTTATATTTTATTTTTTAATTTATGTATTGCGTGTGTATGCACACATATGTAGGATGTCTGCTGAGGTCAGAAGAGGGTGTCAGATCCCCAGGAGATGGTATTACAGACAGTTGTGAGTTGCCTGATGTGGATGCTGGGAGCCGAACTCCCATCTTCTGTACAAGCTGCAAATGCTCCTGCCGACTGAGCCATTTTTCCAGCCCCTTCTCCTGTCCTGCAGCCCAAGAACCCTTCACAATCCACTTCCTGCCTCTTGATTCTGCACAGACGCTCCACCACAAGACCTGCTACCAGGGCCGGTTCCAGCTGCTCTATGTGTCCTGCGGGTAAGTGGGACACAGGCTCACTGAGACCCTGGATCGGCCGGCCCGGCTCCTGCACTACCAGGATCCGGAACTTCAGCTTTGCAGTCTCCACTCTGCTCCACGTGGGGTCCCCAGCCCCGCCCTCCCCAAGGACCCAGGAGTCCCAGCTCCTAGCCTTTTCTCTCCGCAGGATGGTCCATCTTCTCAGCCCTGAGCTCGGGGCCTGCGTGGCCCCTGGAGGGAACCTGGTTGTGGAGTTAGCCCGGTGAGATAGCGGAGTGCAGGGTGGGAATGTCTCAGATGGGCCAAAAGCCGAGGTCTCTTCACACGCAGTTTCCGACTGCAGGTACTTGGTGGACCTGAGGCCTGAGCAGTTGCAGGCGTTCTCTGACCGCGTTGGGGAGATAGCGCAGGCGAGTGGGTTCGCCCCGCAGGCTGGAGCCAGTCCCTCAGAGACCTTCGCGCGCTTCTACAAGCTGGAATCTGCACCTGCCCCCTGCGAAGTCCAGGCCCGTTCTCTAGAAGCGATGAGTCCTCCCCAGGCTGACCAGGCTCCTTCTCTAGAAGGGATGAGTCCTCCCCAGGCTGACCAGGCTCCTTCTCTAGAAGGGATGAGTCCTCCCCAGGCTGACCAGGCCCCTCCTCTAGAAGGGATGAGTCCTCCCCAGACTGACCAGGCCCCTCCTCTAGAAGCGATGAGTCCTCCCCAGGCTGACCAAGCCTCTCCTCTAGAAGTGATGAGTCCTCTACAAGCTGACCAGGCCCCTCCTCTAGAAAGGATGAGTCCTCCCCAGGCTGACCAGTCCCCTCCTGTAGAAGGGATGAGTACTCCCCAGGCTGACCAGGCCCCTCCTCTAGAAGAGATGAGTCCTCCCCAGGAAGCTCTGGCCACACCCACCTCCAAAACTTCAGTGTGACAGGAACCCCAGGGACCAAATACCCCACTTTAATTCCTAAAGCAGGCCCCAAGATTAAAACGAACTCCTGTAATTCTCAGCCCGCCTCTGGATGCTCATTTTTATTCTGTGTTCTTTCTCAACCCCAGAGGTATACCTAGGATTTCAAATTCCTTTTCTGGGAATTCTCCAGCCTACTATTTGGAAGAGTCCTAGATTGTTCTCTGAGAATTATAAATTCTGTCTGAGACTAATTGCAGGCTGGAGATCTGACCCTGGGATCAGGCTCTCTTTTGCCTTGGACCTTCTCTCCAGACACTCTTCCTGTCAGGGGCAGGGTGTCTCCTCACCCCACATGATTCAAATAAAAACAGTAGGGTCACCTTTGTGTGTCCTGTCCTCAGTCTGTCTGCAGGGCTGAGGGAGGAGGGCTGGGGCCTGGACTCCTGGGTCTAAGAGAGGAGGGCTGGGCCCTGGACTCCTGGGTCTGAGGGAGGCGGTCTGGGGCCTGGACTCCTGGGTCTGAGGGAGGCGGTCTGGGGCCTGGACTCCTGGGTCTGAGGGAGGCGGTCTGGGGCCTGGACTCCTGGGTCTGAGGGAGGAGGTCTGGGCCTGGACTCCTGGGTCTGAGGGAGGAGGTCTGGGCCTGGACTCCTGGGTCTGAGCAAGGGGGGCTGGGGCCTGGACTCCTGGGTCTGAGGAAAGAGGGCTTTGAGGCTCTCTTTCTGGTTCTGAGAGAGAAGTGGACTTGATCTGAAGAAGGGGGTTGGGTCTGGACTCCTGGGTTTGAGGGAGGAGGGTTGGTGCCTGGACTTCTGGGTTTGAGCAAGTGGTAGGAGGCTAATGGCTGGACTCTTAAGAAAGGGGAACCATGGGGCTGGAGAGATGGCTCAGCGGTTAAGAACACTGGTTGTTCTTGCAGAAGACCCGGGTTTGAATCCCAGCACCCATATGGCAGCTAACAACTGTCTGTAACCCCAGTTCCAGGGGATCCGACAGCCTCTTCTGTCCTCTGTGGGCATTGCATGACATGGGTGCACTTACCTACATGCAGGCAATATAATCATACACACAAAAAATGAAAATAGTAACTAAATATTTAAAAAAAGAAAGGAAAACCAGACTCCCAGATTTTTCTGAGTCTGAGGGAGGAGGGAGCTAGAACTCCAGGGTCAGAAGGAGGAGGGTCCAGATCCCTGCCACCTTGGCGACTGGGTTGATCCAGCTGGAGCATTGGCTTCTCCACCCTTCACATGCCCCCTTATCTCCCATTCTGGGTAGGGGAGGAGACAGCAGTATATTTAGTCTCTGTCCTCAACCCTTATCTCAGTGTCCTCAGTGAGGCTTGAGCAGCCCAGAGGGGACTGAACATTGTCTAGAGACCTCCAAGGTCAACAGAGACACCCACTCCCGGACCCCCCAGGAGCCTCTTGCCTACTTTCTCTGCCCCCAGAGATCATGGCTGATGAGTGAGTGAATCTTGGTAACCCTGAACCCTGAGTCCCCAAGGAATTGGGAGGTGGTGATCTCCAGGGTCCCTTCAACAGTGTGTCTAGGTTGGACACCTGTCCTAAGAGGGGAGGAGGCAAGGTAGGATTTGAGGTGGGGGGTAGAAATGAGGTAAGAACTTGAGAATCAGACTCCTGGGGTTCTGAGGGACTGGGAATTGATGATCCTGACCTCTGGGTCATGGGACCTCTAGTGTCCCTTAGGAGAGTGCTCACCATTGATTCCCACCCCTCTTCCTGCTTTCTCTCCCAACAGAAACAGCGCAGTGAGTACCGGGAGCTAAGACAATGGACTGGTGATTCTGTGGTCCACAGTGGGCACTGGAGAGGGGTCTGGGTCGCGGTGAGGGGACTAGGGGAGGACACAGAAAAGGACGGGGTTGGTGGGTTCTTGGTGTTGACATAGCCTTTCCCACTTCCAGGCTGGGGAGTCCCAGCCCATGCCTGCCCCTGTTCGACGACGCTCCTCTGCCAACTATCGAGCCTATGCCACGGAGCCGCATGCCAAGGTGGAGAGGGTTTCTAGGGGTTCAAAATCAAGAGGGATCCAAAAGGGGTGGAGCCAGAGCTTCTCAAAGGGCGGGACTTTGGTCATGGGCGGAGCCAGATGGGTGGGGCGGATTTCAGCCAGAGGCAGGTTGGGATTGGAGACAATTGCCAGTGGGGCAGAGCTCTGTTGCCCACAGGATGTCTTAGGAGGGGGCAGATAGATGGGCGATGTCTTAATTAGAATCAGAGTTTAAGATCCTTGGATGGGACCGAGGGGCGTGGCTTCCTGTGGACTCAGGGTTCAAGTGGAAGAAGGACCCCTCTGGACCCCCTTGAGTGGTGGGGGATGCCTTGGAGCCTCCTCGCACCGTTCACCGTCGGAAGTCTCTTGTTGACCCTCTGTATTCCACGTTAACAGAAAAAGTCCAAGATCTCCGCTTCCAGGAAACTTCAGCTGAAGGTGAGAGGCCGGGGCATTGGATGGTTGGGGGCGTAGCTTGAGTTTGGAGTGTCGTCCTCCCCCCCACCCGCCCCAGCTCCCCCCCCCCACAAACACCAGGGAAGAGGCAACTTGGATGTGCTGGGTTTCTGGAAGGTTGCAGGGAAATTTTTTTTCTTCTCTTTTT